CATGAAACATAAACAAAAGAAATTATCAATATTAATGATTAATGATCATGCAAAGTAAACCATTGAATGCGATTATCAACTTGAATGGTTTTTTGTACAATAGAACTCATTGTGTAGAACTTTTATTATGACTATTCTCGACCTAGTGTCTTTCATGAGGAAAAGAGAGCTCGTATTTGCACTCTTCAAGAGACTCTTTCATCATGTTATAGAATTGGTTCACATTGTCATTTTTAGGCATGTACGTCTTTAATCTTAGCCTGAATTTGACAATGTGACATCACACTTTTACTGAATCTTCTTGTCTTGAGTGAAGATATAAAGTTAGTATCACAAATTTCTACAAGAAAAGTAGGACAACCTACAAATTCTTTTCTTAGCTAACCCGAAAACATGTCTTCATCTGAAATGGTCTTTACATGAAAATGGAAGAAAATATTGTATCTACAACACCATGCTTCAATTTGTATCGTTTTGATATAGTGAGAAACTTACATACATGTATTTTGATGAGTCCCACAAGTCCCTAATTAGTGAGGCACTCAAGTAGAATACATAATTCTTAGAGCCACTCTAGGGCCAAAATTTCATAATAAGCAATCATTCATAGTATTTCCTCTCATGAATAGTTTGGATGGTAAAAACCACACCAAATAAACAAATATTAGAAAACATTGAAAATTGAAATGGGTGCAAAAACGATAATCCACTCAAAGTTACCAAACAATAACGTAAAAATTATTCTCAATAAAATTTATTATTGACTATAAAAAATAGGAAAAACGAGAACTTGTTGACTTTGTTGGTCGAGTCAATTGGCTGAGTTTCAAGCTCAAAATTAGTCAAATTGATAAGAATTAAACTACTTGTACAATTAATTTGCACAACGATTTTGACAATGTGCGAAGTGTCTAGATCATTGTCATTAAATTCAAATACAATCTTTCAAATCAATGGACATAATGTGTCAACTCACACATTGTCAAACTTATTGTCAAATTTATTGTACAAGTAGCATAATTCAATTGATAAATCTTTGATAACGTGTTTATATAATATATAAAATGAAGTGGAGCGACTCAAATAAAATTTGGACCTACCATCTTAAAATTAGAGATATAGCATTAAAAGACATCCCCATTATTAAATCAAACACCTGGAAAAGATTCAAGTCCAAGCAAAAACCACTAGACACCCTATAAAACCAACTTTAACCCCAAATGGCATGTAAGCACCCTTAAAAAAAATTCTATTCCATCACCTCAAAATCAACCTCAATGGCCCTTTTGCTTCTCTTCACCATTCTTTCACTCTCCATTACCCGAGCCGAGGATCGAGCTCACGGGCTCATCAACGAGAGTCCCACGGCTATCTCACTGGAAGCATATGCGTTTTTTAACCCCGACACTCAACAGCCGGACACTAACAACCCCTGTGACTCACCAGACTGCTCATCCCTGCCCCTAGCAGCTATGGTGGTGCAATCTACTCCTGCGCATGAAAGCTCGTCGACTGGTGGAAATCTATTAGGTGCCGGTGGCATTGCTGGTATTCCTTTTGCTTTAGTGTTCGGGTGCCTCATTGCTATGGGGATTTACTACGTCGTGATCAAAAGGTACTCCAACTTGCACCGAGCTACACCTATTCAGCAGCCTGAGGTCTGATTTTTGGAATGACACAAGTACATAATTCGAGATTTTTCTAGATGGACCTCGAGTTTTCCCTCCTCTCCTCTTTCTATCAGCTTCTTCCTACCCTAATTTGAGTGTCATGTCTGATTGTAGGCAGCAGTATGGTATGTTACAGTTAGTAATTTATGAGTGCGTATTCAATACCTAGCACACATATATGATTGTGCTTAAATGTTATTTATTACACAACATATAGTTCTTGAAGTTACTTTTCATACTAACAAAACAAACTTTTCTACACTAAGTCTGAACAGGAGTAATTTAAGCGCAGTAGAACACATAATTGGTTCACAGGTGACAATGCAGGGTTTGAGAGAGAAATAAGAAAAAAAAATATAAACAGATAAGGCTAGATTAAATAAAAGGCAGCAAGGGCCATAATTATACTCCATCCATATTTGCATGGGTAATGTCATTCATCCTCACTCGAGTTAAGCACCAATTTAGGTAATAACACTTTATAGGTTTAATTAAATAAATCATGTGAATTTACATTTAAATGAATCTATTATTTCATATCATGTTTGTCACCTAGACTAGTGCTTAACCCCAATGGTGATGGATATCATTACTCTATTTGTATCATTTCACCGACGCGACTCCTTTTTCATCACTCAGTTCATATGCGTATCTACTAGAAGAACCAATGTGATCATTTCATCGCCCTGCTCACCTGCATATCTACTAGAAGTAACACATTTAGATCTTAACCATGTCATTTCAAACATTGAACGTATTAGCCTCATTTGAGCCCTATTTTTTTCCTTAAAAATGCATTTTAAAATAATAGATTGATGGAAAATGTATAGTTGAAAACTAATGAAACATGTTGAATTTACGTGTAATATTATTTTATTGAAGGATGTGTGGTTAAAAAGAAAAGAAAGAAAAATGTATTTTGCAAATAATAGAGATCAAACAAAGTCAATTTTGCTTGGATATAATGAAAATTTGTAAGAAATACTAGAAGATATGTAATATAACAATATTTTTCGGACATTTAGAAAGGTATAATATAAGAGTAATAATGAGGGAGAGGATATACATAACTTTTATAATTTCTAAAACTAGCTAAGAAAAGAGCAAAAAATTGCAGCCGCAGGGGGATGAGGCACTGTTGATATGAAAAGGTGTGGCATAAACCACACAACCATGACTCTTTGGTACATTGAACTATACAGATATAACTATCTTTCTTAATCATGTTCAGTCATCCAATCTAGCTTACCAACATAACCCATAAGGGCCATCAGTGAATGCAATTTATCAGTCATGAAAGATTTTCAACAATCTGTAGATGAAATCCAAGCTATTATCCAGGTTTTCAAGTATGCACGAGTTCAGAGAAAAATCAAAGATTCAACGTAGATGATGACAGTCTGAAATGTGAATTGGTACAACCCACATCAAAAATCGGAATAAATATGCATCATCATTCATTTTACTGCAACATTCAAAAGAATAGCAACTTGGACAAAAAAAGAAGCGACTTGGACAAAAAGAAACGAAGTGGCTTAGACAAATCTTATTTGTCGATAACCTCACACCAATCAATCGAATATTGCATTGCGAAGACAAATGGGGAAAAAACAAAATGATCCATTATATAAAAGTAAGAGTTCAAAAAAAGACCCTGAAGGAAAAACAGCTGGTATTTCAAGAATAATTCATTGTACAGTACTATATAAAGCATCATCAAAAATGGACAACAGACAGTCCTATTTTTTCTTTTTGAAACAGAATATTACCGGTATTCATGGCAGAGTACTTTGGCCTAGATGTTTTGAAATTACAGAGAAACAAATAGAGAGACTATTGGTAAGGGTCTCAAAAACGAAACTGATCTTCATAACCAACATTTCTACCATCCACGTGAACTAAGAGACTGAATAACAGGTCCCAATGTCTTGTCCACTGCTTTGTTCCATATGTGAGCAAGCCCTTGACGGGACTTTCTTCCAAAGATAGGCTCATGTGGCTACAAAATGTCCAACAGAAACTTCTAGTCATATAGAAATAATAAAATTGATCTTGTAGTAAAAAAGGCAAACAAAATATTTTAAGTAGCTTGAAATGGGCTCGTGGGACTTCATGCCCCTTTTCTCTCCCCTATGGTTAACATTGGATTCAATGGGATTGGTGTCGCCATAATAAGGAATATCATGCCCTATATATTTTTCCCTTGGTACTTTTATTAACCACAACTACTCTATTTTCTCTTCCCCGTGATCTTTTATAATATTTTTGATAGATACCTGAACAACCTGTAATTTAAGACAGTAAAGAAGAATGGAAGCAACTCTATATTGATTGTCAACTAGCAGAATGAAATACACTCAGCTCTTTGATTGTAAAGAAGAAAAGAAAATACAGATATTTGGCATTCGAGAGGCCAATACTCTCCTACTGTTCCACTCCTTTGTTTCCCTTTTCACGTGATCCCTGCTACTATTTATACTGGCTTGTCTAACTAGCTGAGTGGCTGTGCATGTGGTTGTTCTCTAACCAATTCCCTATTCTGCCCTTGCTCCTTTCTTGCGCCTCTGGTATGTCATGTGGATTGCGGGTCTATCAATTTTCTTCCAAAATGTTACAAAAAGATAAAATATTATGCTAAATGTATTCCTATTTTCTCTCCTCGCAATAATCATTGGACATTTTAATCTAAGATACTACTTTCAGGAAAGGAAACTAAAGTTTCACCATTCATATAAATAGATACACACATCAAGTTGGCCCAAATTGTAATGCATAAAATAAGAAAGAATTGCTTTCAATAGGATGGTGTTATAATATGTTTCGAGGCACCTTGTCACATTCACAGACCAAAACTAAGACCGTCTGAAATGTATTAAGGAAATGCTGAACCAATGCTTTCAACATTTTAAAGTGAAAACATTAACTAGAATCAGAAGCATTCACAAGGGAAACCTAAAAGATAAGGTAGACTGGCAGCACCATATGCACAAGAGGATTCTCAAGATCAGTTACAATTCTCACTTTACCAATTACCTCTAACTTCAACTCTCGAAAGGTGCTGCACATTGAAAAGAATAGAAAATACGGTGTAAAGCAGAATATGCCCCTGTTTGAGCCAAACTAAAATTTGAATTCTCATTCTTCTACTCATTTTCAACTACACATTCTTCAATAAAATAATATTTTTTATCACATCAATAACTTTTCTTTCTTTTTCAACCACATATTCTCCATCACATCACATCACAAAAAAAAATGCATTCTTTCCATTTTAACATGCATCAAACACACTCTGAAAAGTTCTTTGCTTCCAATGCCTGCAAGGATGTTATGATGTGTTTGTTCAGTTTAGCCCCCGAGTCACATCTAAATTTACATTCTCATTCTTCTACTCATTTTCAACCACACATTTTTCAATAAAATAATATTTTTTATCACATCAATAACTTTTCTTTCTTTTTCAACCACACATTCTCCATCAATCTATTATTCCAAAATACATTCTTTCAAAATAATGTGGCTCAAACACACCTTATATTTCATAGCCATCCCAGAGACTCAAAACTTGTGTCAACACACTAGAGAAGTACCTTATCTTATTTTATTTTGTTTTTTAGGAGTTCTGATATCTTATATTGGGTCATAAAAAAGTTTGAGCATGAGTTACAGTATTTTCCAGTTAGCAATCGAACTTGAATACCAGTGAATATACTTGTATAAGAATGGTAAAATGGTATTTTGATCCTTTTTTGTGCATGAATGTGAATCTAAATTTATTTCTCCGCTGAATCTTTCGTTATTGTGTTGCAAGAGAATTAAGTCCATTGTAGGGGTCATCTATGGAATTACTTCAAAAATGGGTAGAAAATATTTAAAATTTAAGTTGCTCAATCATTTCTTAGCTAGTTCTGTTATTTTCTTCTATTGTTTTTGGTTAATGCGCCATGAAACCCTCATTCTTCAGAGTTGTAACATACTTCCTCATAGAAAAGTATGGCACCGTAAAAGCCAAGATAAAATTGTATACTTCATTCTGATAAAAAAAATTAGTAATTTCTGACAGGAAAACAACAAAAGAAGCTGCAACTTCAAACGGCATCTTTCAATGAGATTGTGAAATTTGAAAGGCAGTGCATTATCCAAAATTCTATACAAATCCATAATTTACAATCTTGAGGAATATTACTCTCTGAAAATCATATTGCTGAGTCGCTGACAACTCAATCTTCATACAAAATTTCAATAATATTCATTCTTTAAAGTGCTTCTTTGGTTCATTCAAAGACAGTTGTTTCGAATTTGACCAATTGAGATATCTGGAGACAATATATTTTATTATTTCTTCCGCTATAGAGAAAACATAGCTCGAGGCAGAATCCACGGTACATGAGTAATAGCTGCCATTCTTACCCCCATACATGAGAAATTTTGGATTTATTTGACCTTTTTAATCATAATACTTGCTCACTTCTAAGGCCTTACAATTCCGTTGAAATGTACAGAGTCAGTTGCAAAATTATTAGGTATTAATAGTTACATTAATCTTCTTTGGTTTTAAGAGGAGATTATAAATCATTAAACAATTCTCTCAAGTAATTATAAACTGATTTAATCTCCAATCAAGTCCTTACAAGTGCAAAAAGCTTGCTCAACATTTTGATGCGTTCAACACAAGAATAAAGACTAATTTGGCAAATTCAATGCCAACTTCTTTATCTATGCATTCATTTTCAGTCATGACAATTTCCAGACTGAAACAGATATCAACAACATAAACCCCAAAACTACAGCAATTAATACCCATCCAAAGTTTTCATAAAAAAATCATCTAAGTGCTAAATTACTGAAACACGATGTACATTGAACACCAACCATAAAAAAGGAATAATACTGATGGATTATCACTCCCTGTGACATATGTCAAATTAAATGCTGGGACATGGAACCCGGATTATTGGACCTATTACTCAATGCCATCTAAACATAAAGATGGT